TAAAACATATTATTTTTATCATAGTGTATATGTAGTATATATTCTAATCATAATCAGACTTTGAAATTAAAAAAACTATACTGGAATGTTAAAATGTACTTAATTTTGAAAAACCAACACCACCTTCTGTGTTGCTAAGAAGCTGGTTAGCTTATAAAGCTAGCTGGTTAGCTTATAAAGCTAACCGGTTAGCTTATAAAGCTAGCCGGTTAGCTTATAAAGCTAACTGCTTCCTACAGAGTGCTGCTCTCTGTACTGAAGCTACCGATCCGTCCTGAAAGCACGATCCGTACCTTCAGCTCATTTGCTCATGGGCAACTAGATATACATCCAGGTTTCAACAAATAATGTAATTATGGTACTAAAATTATGTATTTCTATCCTTAACTCACTAAAGCAAGGGTCTTCAATGTTCTCCAGGCCAAGGACCCCAAACTGATGGTTAGATGGAGCGGGGACCACATAATTCTATATATTGTATGAAATTGTGTTCTATTAAACTGGTCCTATAGTCACTCTAATGCAATGAACATATTTTTGTCCTGGGATTATTAAAGTATTTCTGATTGTGATTCTTGGTTGATGGGACAGGTGTTGTGAATGAAACGGTGCCCAGCTTGAAAGAGCTCCTGTGTGTCGCTGAATGTGAGCATTAATGACTGAAAGACATCTTCTGGCTCCATTTATTTTTTTATTACAGTGTGTTGAATTCATGTTAATGTGGATTTAAAGACATTTCAATAAATGTTTTCAATTTTCCAGGGAAAACAATGCAGGGGGAATATAAAAAGTCTAATCAACCAAAACTTTTGAAACCCCCATGCAGTACCACCGTGGACCCCTAGGGGTCGCAGATGCCCTGTTGAAGACCTCCGCACTAAAGAATGCTAAGACACATCTTTAAAAAATCTTTTATCAGATTTATGAGACGATTTTGATGCTTTTGACATTTTCTCCGTTAAACTGCTTCTCTGATGTCATCATCGGACATGCTCAGAGCAGTCTGGAAAATGTGATTTAATCAGGTTTATCTGTATTTTAGTTGTTTCTTTCTTTAGATTATGCACTATATACCATAATGTCAACATGAAAGGAAAACATGAAACCCAAAATGACTCGATTTAAGTTTAAATCCACAGCTGAAAAAATAAGCTCCCGGAAGTAGAAAAGGATCCCATTTCCAGCACAGGTCGAACACAGACGAGTGATAAAACAGAAAGGATTGTAAGGCATTTATTTTCTCAGGAAATACATTACTAACCTTTAATACATTTTAGTTTAGTACGCATACTGTTTTTGGGGAGGTAAAAACATAATTTAGGTATTTCTTACAAAATGACATCAAGGATGACCCAGATGTACAGCTGGTTGCACAAATGAGCTGATGGTACGGATCGTGCTTCCGGTGTAGGTACCAGATCTGCTTCATGCCAGTGACGTTACGCTACATGATTAGCTGAAAGTTGCCACATAATGTAAAACATTGTGGTTGCCCAGACAACGATGATCACGCAGCATCCGTGTGCTGAGTCGGGAGCATCTGCAGCATCAACATGTCTAATAAGCTATGAAGTTTTACCTGATCAACAACAAAACTGAAGAAAAAAAATGTGTATGGTGAACAAAGTAACTGCAAGGCCATGGTGTGAAGGGGGGGAGCCGGATAGCGCTGTAGCTTCCTGCGCTCAGTAGCTAACAGGTTAGCCTCTTTTAGCTTGGTCAGTTAGCCATATTAAGCTAACCTGCGTTTAACTTTGTGTCACTGTTAGTTTTCTTCAAGTAGAATAACTATTTTATTTGTCTAATATATCTACAAAAGTCATTTTTAAGATGCCCATTCATCCTTCCCTGCCCTCAGATCTTCATAAAAGAATAAAAATAAGCTGAGACTTTTTTTCTTTAAATGGTAGAGCTCAGTCTTAGAGCACATTTTACTTTCCTTCAAGACTGACAGATTGCTTTAGATTGCGAATGAAATGTAAAATAATAGCAAATATACTGTAGGTAATAATATGTCTAGACTCCAAAAGAGATTAGATCCTTAAGAAACGGGTGAATACAGTTTTTCTCCGAGTGGATTTCCATATGTTGACGCCATAAGAAGAGGGCAGGGCCCCGAGCAGATCTGGTACCTACAGCGGGACACATCGGGTAGGTACAGAAGGAAAACTGGAGACAGTCCAGCGTTGCTAACTTAGTGACTCATAATATTTGGGGACTTCTTAGACCCCTTAAGCCATTGTTTTTAAATAAAAACAACTAGAGACAAAGCTAGTGACTTTTTCACTGTGTTATTGGGTTATTTAGCGGCTTTAGGTGAAAGCAGCGATCCCTCTACCAGTACTGTCTGGAGACAGCAGAGATAGCGGCTGTGAGTCTCTTCCTG